GTCAGAGGGAAACCTCAAGTAACCTAGCCAATGCATCTTCGTAAATGGATGAGAGGAATGGTAAAGAAAGTAAGGAAACAAGAAAAGATTAGTTAAAGCTAGGAAGATAGGAACTTGTGGAGGGCATTGATCCTAACACTGCACATGCAACGAATCTATTAACACGAATAATATTTCAGCGACTGAAGTGAAAACAATCTACTGAAGAGAGAAAACAGAGTAAGTAAACTAGTTTCTAACAATGGGAACAGATGAAGACATACACAGCAAGATGAGAAATAGTAATCCGTGATCGAAGTAGCAACACGTGGGTCAAGGAAAAAGATGTGTGGACACAATAGCTTTTTCAACGACTCGGTCAGTAAATGAGTCTTCTACTCGAGTTGCGAAACAAACACATATTGTTCAGACATGAAGGGGAAAAAATTTCATTTTTAAAAGTGGAATTTCTTTTTCCCCAACGAAGAAAGAAACGAGGTCAAGTGTTCTAATCTTTGAATACCATTTTTATTATTATTGCTCTCATTTGGATAGCTTTTTAGACTCAACACTATCGGTTGATGCTGTCTTCATTATGACCATTTTTTTTTTACTACAGCTTTCTTATTATTGATGCTTTTCACATAAAGTGTTTTTATTATTATTATTTTATTATGATTTTTACTCCATCAACACAAATACAGAATAACGTATAGCTATGTGACATAGAATAAACCGAAGCATTTGATAATGTACAACACAAAGATATATTTGAACTGCTAGGTAAATCCTATACATTTGGGAAACATTAGAATAATCCAGAATATGTACTAGGAGCAAATTGCAGGAAATGCTTTGAGTAAGTACACAAATTGGTAAGTGATATCAGTGAAAAATACGTCTTCTCGTCAGATTTATTTAACCATTACAACTAAGCAATACTAAGAGAACTGGAAGTCCTGGCAGGATTTATTACTGGTGGACACAGTTTTAACAACGTAAGATACGCAGATGACACAGTATTGACGGCAGAACACAGTAATAAAGCTGTAGGAACTCTTAGACAATTTAGTAAAGGGGGGATTAACAATCAATTGTAAGAAGACAGAATGTATGGTCATCAGCAAGAGGATCAGGACCGGAATGCGAGCTACGAATTAGAGAGATCAAAATGACTCATAAATTTAACTATCAAGGTAGTGTTTTAACAGTCGACGGCAAATGTAACTACAAAATGCAAAGAAGTATCAAAATATCCAAAGGCATATTCGAAAAATCAAAATAAAAGCCAAACAAAATATTATGAAACAAAGAAATGTCGTTCGTAACAAAGAAAATTGAACTGCTGAACTGCTATGTAATATCAATAACTCCTGTATGGCAATGAATGCTGGACAATTTTCTAACAGATGAAGAGGATACATAAAGCTACACAGATGTGCGTCTGCGGAAGGATGCTGAGAATAGCGTGGACGGAGCCTGTCAGATGGAGGATGATATAAAGAAAATTGAAACAGAAAAGACACATATTTATAATCCAAGGTTGCGTTATAAAGAATAAAGCTGCACAAAGAAGTCAAGACGAGCAGAAGGAAAATATCAAGTAACCTACCTAATAGGCTATTTATAGCAGAAATTAAAGATAATAAATTTGTCAGAAAAAGGTTCGATAGGTCTAATTGCAAATTTTCCTGAAATATAACCACTTTACCATAAACCCTCCCTCTCTCTCTCTCTCTCTCTCTCTCTCTCTCACTTAAAAATATAAACACAATTTATTTCCGACGTCAATTTTTTTTGTTGTTCAAACGGCCGAAGAGTGTAACAAATGAGGAACTAGGCGGGATAGCTACAAAGGATAGGAAGTTGTGGAGAACCATGATAACCCATGTTCTGATGGATCATGACACATAAAGGAAGTATTATTTTTAAGTTTCAGATAAAGTATATTTAGTATCATTATTTTATTTTATTAGTATCATTATTTTATTTTATAAGGAGATATATACTTTTATACTATTAATGATTTTCATCAAAACACTGTCAGTTGATAAACACGCTATTATTATAAAAACAGTATTGCCAGGTTTTCCAAATTATCGTTGCTGATTATTTACAAAAAGTCCTTGCAATTTACACTCTTCGGCCGTTTGAACAAAGAAAAACTTGACGTCGGAAATAAATTTGCTTCCGACAAAAATTAAGTAAATAAATAGTGTTTATATCTTTATATGTTTAAGTCACAGAGAGAGGGGGGTTGATAAAGAGTTTATAAATCAGGAAAATATCCATTCAAAACTATCGAATTTTTTTCTAAGAAATTTATTGTCATTCAATTTAATTGTTACTGCATTTTTTTAAGTTTTAATTTACTTTTAATACATTGCACTCGATGTTGGTGAAAAAGTTATGCACCTATTAGTACATTTTCAGGCAATTCCAAACAAGGCTGCACGCTGGGATCAGAACATCACCTCATTAACACAACCCAGGATGATACGTTTCGAACTTAACATCATAGTGTGCGGGTGCGTGAGCAAACAATCTCCCAAGGGGTTACTCAGTCGGCAGCTAAACCTTATTGTGTGAGTGTCATATCCACAATATCGCCTTCTGCAGTTTTTTTTTTTTTTTTTTTTTTTGGTGGCAGTCATTTCCCTCTTTCAGATCTTCCACAATAACTGTACAAATTTGCAAAGTTTCCCAAAGTTTAAAAAACCATTAAACCTATGTAGAGATTAAGGAGATCGTCACCTAATTTTGATTCCGAAAACTGAAAGGCATAGTTCCAGTTTACAGTAGAGTCAAAATGGTGGAACAAGGTCAGGTTTGTACTAGATACAAAAAGTATGGTTTACATTAGCGTCAATTAAATAGACTCTAGCACAATACACACTTTGTCTACCTTGTTGACAGCTATCAATTTGACTTTATAGACCCTATCAGACACACCATCAAGAAAGTAATACATAGTTGTGACATTGGCATAGATACTGCATCTAGAACTAACGACCTCGGTACGAGGATTAGAGTTCAGGGGTGGGCACATTCGCATTTATATAGAAAAATCTAGAAGAATAGCCGCTAAATACATTCTACATTTGACGATTTGCAAAGAAAGATTAAATCAAATCAAACATTCGACCATAACTCGTAAAGAAAAGTAGTATGCCAAACACTGTCAAACACTTTCGAGTTATCTAAAGCAACAGTCCAAACTTCAGCTTGACAGAATCTTTCAGGAATGACTGTTAACAGATCAGCAGATGATCTTGATTTCTCCATCTTGAGTTTGTCACACACACACACACACACACACACACACACACACACACACACACACACATATATATATATATATATATATATAATTATTTATTTAAAAATATGATTCCAACGCTACATAAGAGTTCTCATGTTTCAAAACAAGAGTCGAAAACTTCAATATAATTATTTGAATTAAAGTACTAAGCTCTGTTCCATCTTCAAGCGAATTTTCTTTTCTTCGCTTGAAGGTGGAACAGAGCTTAGTACTTTAATTCAATTTAATTCACATAATTATATTGAAGTTTTCAGCTCTTGTTTTGAAACATGGGGACTCTTATGTAGCGTTGAATCATATTTTTAAATAAATAATTATATATATATATATGTGTGTGTGTTAGATAAATAATTACATTTATGCTCTACTTTTGTATCGAGCGCTATTTTTTTAAGTAATAACAAAAATGCAAAAAAAAACTTTGGATTATTTACCTAACGAGTTCTTTCCTATTTTCTATATATTTTTACACACACACACACACACACACACACACACACACACATATATATATATATATATATATATATATATATATATATATATATGATAAAAATATAGGTATGCTATATTTATGAGTTAAAGTGCTCAATATCAGGGATAGAGCGTGCAAAAATATAAAAGTGGACATTCAGGTCAACATCCAGTGGCGACAGTCTGTTTTATACTTAAACGCAACATTGTGTTCAAGCATGAATGAATTTCAGGATATTACAACAAAAACAAATCTGGCCTTGAATATATTTGTAAGATAATAATTTATTTTTTCGATTAGTTTGAATTTGACATAAGTCATATTCGATTAGTTGATCAGGGTAAAGCCTACAAGCTTTTCTTTTTTTTACTTTTGCCAAAAAATGAGGATGTATTTTGCTTTTGAAACCAAATTAATCGTTCACACGCCAATAATTTACAATCGACTGAGGAGGCGACTCGTTATTGTTGAAACATCACTGCAATTGTATAGCGATTGTTACATGTTTGTGTTGTCATATTCTAAAATGAATAATATTCTTTATTATGTATTGAGCCCTCTTTTAAATTAAATGTTACGAACATTGGAAATGTACTCTATTTGTTCTCATCTTACCTGTATATATATATATATATATGTGTGTGTGTGTGTGCCCGCTCGTGTATGTGTGTTTCTTTGTGTTCAAATCTTTCACACACATAAATACATACACGTGCACACACACATGCATGCGCGCACACACACATTAATATATTAATATCAAAATCCGCTACTACCTTAATAATATTACTATTATACATTATTATTATTATTATTATTATTATTATTATTATTATTATTATTATTATTATGCGGTATGTTGAAACTCTGCCGGCTTTGGCATTGAGTCAAAACTTTATTTTATATTTTAAGCTTTTAGCTTATTTTACGTTTTAGCAAATATTTTTCTATTTGATGTCTATATATATATAGATAGATAGATAGAGAGAGAGAGAGAGAGAGAGAGAGAGAGAGTTGGAGGGGGGGAAGAAAGAAAGAATATTTGTTTTATTTCTTAAGAATGCTCAATGTGCTCTTAAGTTTAGTTAGATTATAATCATTTTCCCTATAATTTGATTTGCAAAGTGTTTTGTTATATTTTAATTAAAACCCTTTTCTCGCGATTATCTCATTGATATTATACTTAATTTAATCGTGTTATTAAATGCCAACGTAATTATTCTCATGCTTTTCATTGGTCAGCTATTCTTCAGGCAACAATCCGGCTTTGTTCATTTGAATTCTTCTCCAAAGCCGTGAAATCATAATCCAAACATAATCCTGCTCACTTCTTAACGAGATTGGATTAAATGAAAAAATAAATGGTGAAGGGCAGTTTCGAGTGTCGACATTTTTCTCTTACAGTCTACTTGGCGCCAAGCGCAATTTTGCGTGCAAACAATCAGTCATTCCCAGCGGAACAAAATCTTTCCATTCACCTGGGCATGCGCACAATTTCACCTTGAATTTGCAGTTGTGTGATTTGTGTGCAATTATAATCTCCTTCTTTTCGTGGCAAAGCATCATTTGCTTTTACATTTTACACGAATTCTCTACTCGTTCTTTCTTTTTATTGGTTCTTCCTTCTTTCTTTTTGTTAATTCTTCCTTTTTTTTCTCTTATTTTTCTTTTTGCTCTTGGTTATTTACTTCCTTTTTTTATTTACATTCTTTTAAATTTCGTTGTTTCTTCAAATTTCCATTTTTCTTTATTTTTGCTTTTAATTTTCATTCTCTTTTTGTATCTGTTTATCGTCTTTATTGTTCTTCATTTCTTTATCATTTGTGTTCGTTTGCTTTTCTTTTCTTTTTTTCCCCACCGTTATTTTTATTTTCGTTTCTACTTTGTCCCGTTTTTTTCTTTGGCTATTTCTGTTCTTTTATCCCATTCTTTCTTTTTCACTTCTCACTTCCTTTCTTTTTCCATTCATTCATTCTTTCTCTCTTACTTTTGGATTTCCTTCTTTTTTTTTTTTTACATTCGCTTTCATATTCTTTTTCACTTTCTTTACGTTTTATATTTCTTATTTTTTATTCTTTGTGTCTGTATTATCAATATTAATTTTACAAATAAAATTATCTATTAATTATTTTCTGTTTTTTTTTTTTCCTTTTACGTTTGAGCATTTTCATTCGTTCGCCAAATAAAACTTTTTTCTTTTATCTTTCTTTACAATATTTTTTAGTTTATGATTTTTACACGACATTAAACCGTATTTCAAAATTCATTTCTTCATTCATTTTCCTTTCTTTCTTTCTTTACTATACTTTTACTTAGAAGAACTTTTCACTTATTCACAGTTCCTCATTTTCTTTCCTTTTTATAATGTATATTTAACGTGCATTTTTCTACTTTTCTCTTCCTCTCTTTAATACCTTTTTTTTTTTTTCACTTTCATTCATTTGCTTTTCGTCTTTTTTTAAAGAAGCGAATCTTCCATTACTTCTTAAACGACTAATCACAGACAAGTAATCTGAATCTCTAGATCTGTTCATTGCAAAAACGATTTCGTGCTAACACTGACCGCGCACTGATAGAGGTGATAATAATTTCTATTTTCCGTCTCGCCGCGGCTTACGATTTGATAGAATGTCCAACTTCATTTCTTTGATATTTTCTTCCGTTAGAAAATGCAACGCAATTTCTAAAATCGAATAAACTGAGCACCTCACCATCGGACAGATTTGTCAAATAGAATCAAATCGACATTGACAGCGCATAGTAAACTTTGAATGTTCTCATGTGCCGTGTCATTTGTCATGGCATACGAAATCGGAGCTCACAGACAACAGAAAACGCTACACGTGTGTATGGAAATTTGGTGGGTAAAGCAAAATGCAAGAACATTTCTGGGTGGAAATCCGAAAGACAGAAATGCAGATGCATCGACCTTGTTATCTCCAAGTTGTTCAGAAAAATCCAAAACACCATCTATACAGAACCGTTTTCTCAGATAAACGATTTAAAATGGCTTCAAGCAAATGGATCCTCTGGGGTTTAAAAAAAAAATAATACTTCATCAAAAGACCGGCGCTACGAAATCAAAAAGCACTTAAGTAAATAACAAAAATCACATCCTATGAAGACTTCCAACAGTCACAAGAGCTAAAATGGCTAGCACTTGAAACTAGAAGAGAACATAATTTTCCTCACTACCTTAAACAAATATTTGGAAAAAAAACCCTCATTAATACTAGAAAGTGTGATAACAGTGAACTTGAGAAGCCTATTCTCCTGAAAAGTTTTCCAACAAGATAATCTTCAAGTAAAGAGTCAATCTTCATCCTCCTTATCGTCATCATCTTTAATTACTACTGTTAAGGGGTCTACCCCTTTTTCATAGTGGACTCGCCCAGTGTGTACTTGTACTGCTGCCGGTGAATACCTGGGCAGTGATACAGTGAGAGAGTGAGAGTGTGATATAACCGCTTTGTGGGAGTCACAATTGCGAGCACTTAGACTCAGAAGGAAGTCATACTTCGATACTGAATTTCCCAGACTGTATATATATTATTATTGCTACTAACCGCATTTCTGGATCTACTAACCGTATTACCAATTGTATTATTACGTCAATACATTTATTTGCTATATTTCATACCTGCGTTTGTCATTTATTTTGAGACCGGATTTCATCCCGGAATCCGCAACAACTACCATACCCACTTTTATTCATAACACACCTCTCATACAGTAAACCCCTATTATGAGTGGTTGTCGAGACTCATATTGGGAGAATGCTAATATAAAATGTGATGTGGATGTGCAGGTAGCATAGCTGAAACTTCCATCAATGATAGAAAGAGCGATAACAGTTAAAGAACTTGAGAAACCAGGTTTCCTGAAAAACTGTTATAAGAAAATTGTTATGAATTTCAAGCGACAGTAATGCTAACTGTTCGCTCAATAAATAGCGGATGTTTTCTGTATGGAAACGGTTATTCTCACTATTTTGTTGTTTCTGGTTACAGAGTATCAATGCTGTAGAGTTTGCCAATATATAAGAAGCGATAAGACCCGTTTTGATTGTATAATGTGACACCACACGAGAAATAATAAAATACTATTATGCTTGGTCTTTTCAAAGAAAATTATTAAAAAAAAAAACACTATGGATGCATTTATTCATTCATGGTTGACTCTCTATATTTGCAATTTTATATGTATTGCTAATTTTAAAGACTCCAAAAATAAACAGCTCCCTATTAATCCTTTGAGAGACCTTTCTCTGCTTCTCATTAACATGTCCGATGCTAACATCTAGGAAAGTGACTCGTTGTTCCTTTTTGGGCTAACATTCTCGGCTGAATCGAGAATGTCAGTTCACTGCGTCGTTCGAGACAATTTTTCCCTCCAGAATCTATTTTATATATATATATATATATATATATATATATATATATATATATATATATATATATAAGTCTACTATTAGTCCATACTTAGAATATTGCTGACACATATGTAGCGGTGCACTTGTTATTTATCTAGAGTTCCCTTAGCAAAATCCAAAAGAAGTATCAGCAATATTATTGGTCCTGATCTGGTGTATCGGCTTCAGTCACATTCCTAGAGCCGTAAGATTATTTCCCGGTGTCTTTTCTATAAACTACTTTCATGGTAATTGTTCGGATGAGCTCTTCGCTATCGTACCTAAACATTTTGAATTTAAGCGCAGTACAAGACTGACGACGAGGTCTCATCACTTGACAGTAGATTTAATTTTTCTTTTCTCGCACATCTCGCTTTTAGAACTCACTTCCGGTTCTATGCTTTCCAGCCAACTTTAATCTTCAAAAATGTAAATGCAATGTCAATCGCTATCTACTGTCCTCCTGATTCTTCTTCTTTTGTTCTTGCTCTTTAGTAATGACTAGCAGTAGAGCCCGGCGTTGCCCGGGGATGTAACAGTAAGAGATAGATCAAGTATCGACCATCATAAAGACTGAAAAATAAAATTGACAAAGATTATTGTTTAAGGTTGATGGACGCGCATGTCTTAATTAGTTTTTTTGTTTGTTTGTTTGTTTGTTTGTTTGTTTGTTTGTTTTTTGGGGTTTTTTTTTACGAATTGGTCAAGCCTAAACTCAAACAAAACCATTGTTTTCAATCGTTATGAGTCTACCGATTGAATAGAATTTTATTATAAATAATTGTCTTGTAAATGGAATTTTTAAAGCTTCTGGATGTAAGAATAAAGAAAAAAGTGTGCAATAAAATAAAAAAATATAGTTTTGTTGAAATCGGTTGAAAAATGTGAAATCGATCCCATATATAAACGAACACAGACACACACTCACAAACAACCTGGGTTTTTATAAGTATAACTCGATATGAGTTGCCCCCTTTCATTCTAGCGATGCCTCTTAATCGTGTTTTCAAATTGATTTCATGCAAAAACAATTGTGTTTTTTTTTTTTTTTTTTTTGGGCAAGGTACTTTTACGTAGCCCTGTGAAATTTTGTTGTCAACCTTTGATTCTATTTCAAATTGTTAAACACCCAGTAAAACCATTGAATACTGCCTTGTTTGGAATGAACTCGATAAAAACAAAATAGATTCTGATGAATCTTATGTATTCACCTCAATCTATACACTAGTTTAAGGTACACGCATAGAAATATAGGAAGAAACAGATACCTATCTGTCTATGTAGCCGTCAACTTTGGATAAAATACAATTAAGGAGAAGTAGATAATAATTCATCTATCATTTTAGCAGGGTCTGCCACAGACAGATTTCGTTGCTCTCTCAATGATGGTCGATGATGTTAAATGCGGTGTTGTTGGACTTCGTTAATGAGTTCCTATTTTTTTTTCAAGATATTAAAAATTTGTTAACCAGTGAAGAAAAAGCATAAAAAAACAATACGAGTCGTCCATTTATAAAATCGAAAAAATGTTTCACTTCAGATTTTTCTAAGACGGTTAATTTTAAAGGATGAACAAAACCAAGAATGAAGGAAATGAATGGGAATTTGGATGTGGTTTGCTGTTTGTTTTCCTGGTTCTCCCTGCCGCTTCTTCTCCGACTATTAATCATATTCTCCAAATATTTTAATCGTGTATGCAGAGTCTTTGGGGACCTACTGAGACCACATGATTGCCTCATTTGGATAAAACTAATACTCTCAGCCTCGGCTTCTCTCTCTCTCTCTCTCTCTCTCTCTCTCTCTCTCTCTCTCTCTCTCTCTCTCTCTCTCTTTTGTTCTTTTCTGTATCGCTTTTTTTTCTCTAATTCTCTGCCTCCTTCTCTGTTTTCATTATTTATTTATCTCTTTCTCTCTCTCTCTCTCTCTCTCCCTCTTTCTTTCTTTCTTTCTTTCTCTCTCTATTTCTCTTTCTCTCTCTCTCTCTCTCTCTCTCTCTCTCCTTTTGTTCTTTTCTGTATCGCTTTTTTTTCTCTAATTCTCTGCCTCCTTCTCTGTTTTCATTATTTATTTATCTCTTTCTCTCTCTCTCCCTTTTTCTTTTCTTTCTTTTCTCTCTCTCTTTTCTCTTTCTTTCTCTCTCTCTCTCTCTCTCTCTCTCTATATATATATATATATATATATATATATATATATATATGTATATTCTATTTTAAGTTTCACTCGAGCAGCTTCTTCCCACGAACCGCTGCTTTGTGCAACCAACACCCAAGAGAATGCTTCCCCGATTACTACAATATTAACCTATTCAAGTCTAGGGTCAACCGTTATATTCTCCACATATCTCCATAATCTGTACCTCTTACTCTGTAACCCTCTACCTCAAGTGACCCTTGGGCCTTGTACGGAGTGATCATTGTAAAAAAAAACCCTCTCTTTCTTTCTCTCTATATAATCCTATTTCTCTTTCCCTGTGTTTTCCTGATTTGTTCTCCTTTCCTCTATTTCTCTTTTATTTAATCTTCTCTCTCTCTTTCTATTCTTTTCTCTTGCTTTCTCTATCCTACTCTTTCTTTCACGCTCTTATGCTTCTCTCTGTCTTTTCTCTTTGTCCTCTTTTTATGCCTATGTACATCTCTCTCTCTCTCTCTCTCTCTCTCTCTATTTTAAAATATGTCAGAGAGTAAATTCCGCATTAACCAGCCAATCATCTACCAACAAAATCTTCAATAAACATTTTGAAAATAATCCATAATTGATAAAGCAGTACGTTGATTATGTTGAGCATTGCACTTATAGCATCAGACATAAAAATTAAGCTCACTATAGAAATCAGTTTTTTTTTTTTTTAAGCATTACGGCCCGAGCAAGCCACTAGGATGCAAGGGGGTGCAGAAGATTTGGAGCAAGATCAGATAGGAGTGATAGAAGAAAGGATGAGGAGAGGGATAGTGGACAGATCAAGGTAACTGGAGATGTCGATTGACATTACATTTGAATAGTTGGAGATTATAGCTCTCAGGGAAACAGTAATTGGGAAGGGTGTTCCACAGGCGAGAGGTGCGAGGTATGAAGCTATTGGTGTAGAAGAGACGGCTACATTTTAAAGTTTCTGCAGTGTAAGGGTGGGAGCGGGATGCCAGCCTCGTAGGGCGCTTGAATTCATGGAGTCTGGGAACCAGTGAAAGCAGCTCATCGGAGCAATTACCATGAAAGTATTTGTAGAAAAGACAGAGAGAGGCGACGGTACGTCTGTGAGAGAGCGATTGTAATTAAATAACTGACCATTATAAAAAAGTGTAAGAAAAAATGGATAAACGCGACTATATTCAAATAAAAAACAGGCATGGCATACTATTATGTTGAGTCGTAAATAATTTTCTGTTTTCGTGTATCAACTTTTTTTCTTCAAAGAATAACGCACAATTACAATTTAGTGTTTCATTTCAAAGAGTAGTAAGTATTAATAAGTAGTAAGTATTAGTAAGTAGTTTATTTTCTTATCTTGGTTGATATAGATGTTATTATAAACGTAGCGTTTCGACCAAGCCGAAACGCTAAGCAAAGTATTAAGAAACAGTAAGATTTCACAATAAACAAAGAATACGGAACTGTTACGTAATATCAGCCCTCCTGTGTGGTAGCGAACGCTGAACAATCTCTTCACAGATGACGAAGAGACTTGAAACAATGGAACTGTAGTTCTACAGAAGGAAACCGAACGAACCATCGCCCGCACATGTAAGCAACGACGAAGTTTTAGAGAAAATGGAAATAAAATGGACACTTATAATTAACATCAGAAAAAAACAGTTGAAATTTCTATGGCACATGATGAGGAAAGGCGGTTTGAAAAATTTGATACTCACAAGTCAGATTGAAGGCAAGAGGGACAGAGGAAAACAAACAGTAACCTACGTAGCAGGATTAAGTAAATGGATGGCGGAACGGGGTTTAGGAGAGATAAAAAAAAAGTTACAAAATATACTAAGAGCTAAAAAAGGCAGGAACTTGTGGAGAGCCATGATCTGAAGTGGTACAGCACATAAAAGAAGATCCTCTAACCAGAGTGCACTTGGTCGAAAGGTTGTGCCTATAATAACATGTATATCAACCAAGATGGTTAAGATAACTCGAAATAATACATACTTAAAGTAAAATTACATTCTACCCAATTATATATTCACCATTAATTGCAATGGCTCGGTGCCAGTTATCAGGACGCTCTTCGATATATTCCACAAGTGTTGACAGGAAAAACTGTGTCAACGAACTTTTGAATCTGTCTTTCATTAAAGAATATTTTCCCCATCTAACCCTTTTGTAGCGGTCAAAAGAGGTAATCCTCGACTGGTGCAAGGTGTGGTTGGGTAGAATAGACTTTATTTCAAAACGTTTTCATATGTTGAAAATCTTGCTGTATGTGACCTTGCGTTGTCATGGAAGAAAACAACATTATTCCGACTGCCGAGGACAAGGCGCTTTTCGAACGTATATTTTATGGACACGTGGCCGCATTTAATTGTGAATTTAGTGTTTCATTGCCTTTTAAGAAATTTAACCACACACACAGCATTATATTTCTTCTATGGAGCTCAGCTTTGGGGGGGTCGGTTATGGGGATTTACTCTTGTCAGTCCACTACCTTTTACGCTGATCATTTTCTTATGTTATTGTTCTTAACAACTAAGTATGATTAATGGTTAGGATGACATCTTTGTCATTATAATTGATTATACAAAACTGAAATTACTCAACCTAATATGTCGTGTGATCAAATACGAATAACTGATATAACAGTTTTTCTATCCTACAATTCCTTCTATTCCGCCTTGTACACGGTTAGGATCAGCTGGCGAAACTAAGTCGCCAATCGTTGCTTGAAGGTCATCAACGTCACTAACTTATCCGCAAATACATTGAGCCCGATCCTCAACAAGTTACCCATTGCTTCCTCTCAATTTACCGCCCTGGGTATGACGATAAACTACATCATGCTGCAAGGTGCAGAGAGATATTTTAATAGTAAACAATATACAATTTCCAGCAATGGATTTTAATAGCAAAAATAATTCCAGCAATAGATTGTAATAATAAAAAGAAATTACCAAAACCCCACGAAAATTAAATTTCGGCATTAAATGACCCATAAGGGGTTGATATAAACAAACCAAACTAAACCATCTCAATTTACTCTCAGTTTAATTAATATTATTTTTCAGTGTCCGTGTAAGTTTTTTTTATGTGTGAGTATGATTATTTGCTAAGATTAGCTTTCTCTGATTTTATTTTATGAACAGTATCCCTTCAGGATATGGTGATCACGGCCCTCAACAACTTCCTCCCTTTTGATTTATTATCACGTTACTTTTTCCTCTTGTGTCCATTATGTCTACTGAGTGACAAACTTCAAATCTTACTGATTTATAAATACAGGTCTCCATTTCTTTCTGATTTTCTTTACAACCTCTTCGTTGCTCGTATCTTCCCTCTATGATATTCTCATCATCCTTCTGTAGAATCACATCTCTTTTTACACAAGTCTCTTCTTCATCTGTGAGGAAACTGATTTATTATCCACCAGTCCCTGTTCTGTCATACATTAGATTATGTTTGCTTTTGACCCTCTTACCTTCGATATGGCCAGGGAGTGTCAAATTTTCCATGCCTTCTTTCTTCATTATGTGTCCTAGAAATTCCAATTGTTTCTTTCTTATTATAAGCATAACTTTGCTTGTAGCTCTTTTTTCTTTAAGACTTTCACATTGATCACATGTCATGTCCATAGTATTCTAAGCATTAGTCAGTAGAGCTACAGCGCCATCGTCTTGTCTCTTCTTCACCTGTGAGGTAATTGTAACTAAGCACTAGTCGCAATAAAAATGTCTGTCTACAATTCATATTGATGTTATCGCGAAAACTAGAAACAAGTAACACCTATCTATCTCAGAAGGAGAAATAAACAAAGAAATTCCATTTCAATGAAATACATGAACAAGGAAAACATTTTTTCAAACAGAAACAAGAACAATTTGAAACCAACTCACGGAGATGATAAAGGGACACACGTTATCTCAGAGGAAAATTTCAGACTTTGTAGGGAAGAGATATTTACCGTATTAAAACCAACAGTAGCGAAAAGAACACGTGGCAGTATCTTTAACCTAATGTGCCACGTGGAAAGAAGGCTTGCAGAAAATTACACCTAGACACATGTACGTATATATGTGATAAATGTCTACTTTTATATTTTATAGAACATTTAAAATTATACTCAGAATTTCAAAAATATTAATGGTGCTAGTGCTAAGTAGCAAAATCTCTAAGCCTGGTAACGCATATAACAGGCCTTACGAGGACCTTTACAGAAATTATCGTCCAGCATTTACTATCATATAAGAGATTGGGTAACATATAATAGTGATGTGGGGCCAAAGTCGGGACCACAGAAGGAAAACACGGAACACGGATTAGATGTAAGATATATTAACAACAGGTTACAGAGATAGTGTAAGCGGAGCTTACTATATGTTAGTGTCCAATACTGGTAGTCGTACGCGGCTCTCACTGTCTCTCTCTAGAGTGTTGTGTCGCATACTTAATATAGACCTGGAAGAGTCTATTGTGTAGGTAGTTCCGGTCTCACAATACCCCACTTCCAAGAGTTTTCTTTTTGAAAAGGAGAGAAAAAAATAAAACTGTTAATACTTTTTCTCTTGGGATTTACGTTGAGCGGTTGGGTAAATTTCCTTTTCCTTCCTGAGCGTCGCACTTCCGGAGAGACTTGGGGCGTGTCGGGATCGAAGTGATCGAAAATTACGTCGATCGGCTCTTCACAGCTATTTTGTAGTGATTCCTCAGATTCCTTCAAACGGCATTTTCTGAGCTGGTTCCAATGGCGTTTGTGAGTGTTTTTCGGTCCTTGGACAATATAGACCAGTTCGCCAATTCTTTGTTTTATGGTGCCTACTTCCGAGAATGTTATGTTGTTTTTGTAAGCCTTGAAAAAGACTTTATCGCCAGGATTGAAATATTTCTTATGAAGCGATACGGTTCTTTTTAACTTTGCTTGCCGTGGAATAAGTTTGTCGAATACAGATTTGATTTTCCTTGCGAACATTGTTTCTGCAGGCGAGCGTCCCATAGGCGTGTTCGGATTAGGGGCTATCCGATACACCTGCAGAAACTGTTGCAATGCTCTATCTGTCGGTGTGCCTAGTGCCTTTTTTAAAGCCCTTTTTAGTGCAGTTTGTCGTTGCTCTTTTGCATTGTAGGACCTCAGGCCATTTTGAGTGGCTATCCACAAAAATGAGGTAGTACATGTTGTCTATAGGCCCTGCAAAATCGATATGAATTCTTTGCCATGGATGGTCTGTGTTTGGCCATAGTCTGCACGTCGTGGTTGGAGCTTTTGTTGCAAGCGCGCATCCTTTGCATGATCCTATCATGTCTGCTATGTCCTTGTCCATGTTTGGCCAATAAACATAGCAGCGCATGAGGCTTTTCGTACGGTTCTTCCCCGGATGTCCCATGTGAAAATCCCTGAGGATTTTTCTTTGTAGGCTGTTTGGAATCACTACGCGGTCATTATATAGTAGAACATCATCGCAGAGGGAGAAAACTTCAGGCATATTGGGGTCTTTGTTGCGAATTTTGCTTTTTATGGATTGAATGAATTCATCCTCTC